GCCATTAAGTGGAAAATCCTGATGGTAATGTTTTAATGTTAGACATGTATTTAAAACGTTATTCTGAGGGAGTTTTGTTACTGGTTTTAGGGGGATTGTTTTTAAATCGGAGGAGCAGATAGAAATAGGCTAATGAAAGTTGGCTCGCTCTCTTTTCAACTGAACTTTCAGTAGTCCATTTTGTTTTAAGTTAATATGGATTGTGGTATTTAACAGCCGCATCCTTTGTGGTTTATGTTTTTGTTTTTCTTTGTGAATGCACAGACTCAATTTCAAGCTGTTAACTGTATCTTTCTACTGTTAAGGTACTGATAAGTTTTAGGTCACTGAAGAGAGCAGGTGAGAACATGTACAAACCGCTCCAGCCTTTTGAAAGAAACTTAAATCTAATTTTTTAAAAAGCCTGTAATAAGCCCCATGCCTTACACTGTGTGCTTTAAGCAAGTGTGGTTTCCTCAAGACCTCAGCATTGTCCTCTTTTTATGTACTTTATGAATGAATATGAGTAGATAAAGCATGTTGTGCCTCCATCAGAAATTACATTCTGTAATTTAAAATCTGCACTGACTTAAAACCAAAAGCCAATCAGTGATCTGATTCCCCTTCGTCTGTCTGTTTGGAAATGTCCTTCAGGGAGACTCTGCTGACAGTGGAGTGCTGGGAAAAGGAAACAGTATTTGAATGGGTGGAAGTTGTGTGAACCTCTCTCAGGAATTAGGTACTTTTGCTGTGTCTGAGAGGACTTAAAAATCTCCACAGTTTGTGAAATACTTTATAGGCTTCATTTCAGATTTACATCTTTAGATGCTTGAATAAAAACTTAATTTCACAATCTTTCACATTTCTGCAAGGTTTAGCACATCAGAAAAGTTGAACTGGAAGTAAAGACCTTGTTGAATTAACAAAGATGTGCACTTATGGTGGTGGAGCAAAGGTGGAGTTGATCTGGGTGAGAAGACAATTACTGATGTCCTTCTGGAAGAGATTTAGACTATTCTCCTCCAGTTCCTCTGGATGCTCTTGTGTACTTTCTTTACATTCCCCTGCCATTCCCGCTCAGTGTAGCACAATCAATGAAAGTGCCCCAGTGTGTACAATCACTGTGAGGATGGTGCAATGAACTCAGACCAGTAGAGTGGAGAGTAAAACAGAAGAAGCAAAGAAGTGAGCCTAGCTTGCAGGGCAGAGACCAAGTGATGCCTCTGCCCCATGAGCTGTAACAGCAGAGTCACATAGTTCTAGATTTATCTCGCATATGATGAAATATTTAAGCAGAGCAATTTATTTCTCTTTTGCTCTGATAGAACAGTTTCCATGTCATTCTTCTGAAACGGGCCTTGGTACATCACCTAGATAATTAAACTAAATAGCAGTGTCTCCTGAATCAAATGCTGCTAGAGAGGTGAAGTGTTCATTTCATGCTTCCATAGCCTCTTTTTTTTTCCCTGCTTGGAGCAGACTCTTGGCTACTGTTAACAGGTCTACCCCATTGCTGTGAAAGGAACCAAGCCATTTGTACTTCCTCTGCAGATCTGGTTGCATCATTTTGTCTCAGTTCGATGCGCAGTGCGGATACAGCCGTTTCGGAGTTCAGCAAACCAGCTGTCCCTAAGGGAAAAGGGAGGCAGCAGGCAGTGTAGCTGGAGTAAGAGCACATCCTGGGGTAACCAGTGATCTGATACCCTCAAATATTGGACAAGTTTTGAATTGGGAAAGCCAGGTAATTAAAATCTTCATTGTTAATGGACTAAAATCCCTTGGTCTGGACTCTCTAATGAGGTGTCGTGCAGCGCTGTGTGAACGTCAGGCCTCATACAGTGCTCGAATGAAATCTGTGCAATAAGTTTTGCCCTAAAATTATTATTATTATTATGAGGAATATTTGTGAGCGCCCTTTGCATCAAAGAAACTCCTGCAACTTAGGAGGGAGTTCTCTGGTCAAGTGTTGACCTTGTGTTGGTCACTTGGATGGATCTGGTGTGCTAGACGTATGGATCAGTGACATGGTAAATGGTGCACTGCTCACTCGTGGCGTGGATCAAGCAGATTCTGCTGGGAGTAGTTTTACCTCTGCACTGTGTAGGTGACTTTATAGTGATGGGAGGGCATTAGAACACCCAAGTTTTAGGTGAAACACCACAGGGTGGTGTCTATTTTCGGAATATGCAACCTGTGACTGCTGTAACTGAATGTAAGCACTCTTGAAATACTCTGCTGATGTGATTGTCTTAAAATACAGCAAATGAACCAAAATAAGTAAAACTGGTCTAGTGGCTTAACTGTCTTTGAACCTTTCTTAAATGCTTGCAGTGGCTGCAACTTGATGTTTCTTGCACTTAGAGTTCTAATGCAGAGGAATTATTTTCTCCTTCACTGATTTTCAATCTGTTAGAGAAAATGATTCCCTTTTTGGTCCCTTTGTAGAGTACGTGGGAGCATAGTATCTGCTTGCTTCTCAGTCCTCCAGGCTAATACCAAGGCTCGTAACCTAAAGGAAGACTGTTCCCACAAAGTTTATAAGCAAACAGCTTGCTTAATTGTGAAGCTGCATTTGTGTGCTCCTTGGGTCCATCTGCATTGCTGAAAGCATTCTGGAAAAACCATTCTCTTTGCTTCTAAAACCCAGAGATACTGCTGATGTCAGTCATGTGAGACTTAAAAATGTGAAGTTTGTAGCTTTAACCTTTTTTTGTAACAAAGAAATTAGCAACACTGGCATAAAGTGCTGACTTGAAATGCTATTTTGTAAGATCTGGCTGTTTGTATATAATAATGTTGGGTCATTAGTTTGTATATGTATGAAATAGTAACTTTTATTGCATTCCTCTGAGTTTGATACAGGAGATTTTGTTTGGTCTCTCTCGAATACTTTGTCTTATTTGTTCAAAGGGACAAATAAACTGTCCTTAGGTGGAAGCACTGGTGTCACGACTCGTATTTATGCATGAAAGTACTCGGGTGTGCTGTTGCTTATCAGGACAAGTTTTAACATGATGTGCCTCTAGTCAGGCCAATGTTATGCAAAATTCTGGTGGAGCATACAAGCTTTAATAAATACAAGCAGTAAACATGTCAGAAATATATTCCAAACCTTACCAATTGTGCACCTTGAGGAGATATGTGCTTCAGTTCAGGGGCAGGTCCCCGTGCTGCCAGCTCTGTGGCGGTTCGGAAGGACACGCAGTGGCAGTTCTGGCAGTTTCCCCGCAGCGAGGAGCCTTGGCCGCCCTTCCTGGAGCTGCCACGGTGCAGGAGGTTCGTTTGCCCCAAGGGGTGCTCCAGCAGACGGGGAGCCTGAACTCTGCTGTAGATAACTTGCTATCTCTGCTCTGTTATTTCACACTGCAGCAGCTTTCCGGAGCCTGCAGTCAGGTCTGGGACTAAGTACATATCAATTTATCCACCTTCCTACACAACAGGTGAGGCTAGAGGCTCGCTCTCCTAATTCTGGCTGACTTGCTGCACTTTCAGCCTTCTAGCTCAGAAAAAGATGAAGCTGACAGTGAGTGGGTGCTGCCTTCCAATGATGAACTGTTGGCTTCTATGTGGTTTCCCTGAGCAGTTACTAAATCTGTCCTGAAGGGATGACTAACCGAAGCAGAGACAGAATTCATTCAGGAGTCAGCTTTGGTTAGCAATCCCGGAAGAAACAAAATACATCTGAGCTTTTAAATGTTAGGAAGGAGCGTGGAAATCAAAGGGAGGGAGACTGCAGGCATTTCTAGTGAGTGGGGAAGCCTGGAGCTCTTGTATGTTCTCAACAACACGAGCAGGATGTTGTGGAGCCCCAGCACAAAGGGAGGGTCACACTCCCAGTGCAGCAGCAGCACTGCAGCCAGAGCAGGGGAGTGTTCACCAGCGTGTGCTGCACAAATACTGATCTCCACATAACTAACAAAACCAACGCTGCCAAGTAGCCACGAGCTGGGGCTGATATTTAGACAAGTTTTTCTTCCCCCATGGGGGCAAAAGCAAACTTTCCATGAAGACCATAGCACCAGCAGTTTTCCTCCTCCTCCCATGGTAATTATCAGTACTAAGGTATTGCTGTGCCAGTGTCCTTTGTGCCCAGCTGCTCTTCCTACACCCTCATTTTGTCCCATTTTCCCCTGTCCACAGGCCAAAAGAGTCTGAGCATGTGCTTTAAATAAATGCTTTGAGTGTTGGCTGACTTTAGAGTTGACAATTTTTCATTGCATTAATCACCGTGGCAAAATTTTAAAGAGTCAAACCAGGAAACACCCATCAGCTCTTTCCAGACTGAAAGTGACTTAATTGCCCTTTAATTTAAGAGTCCAGGAAGACAGCCAAGTTGTTTAAAAACTTTAAAACAATTCAATTCCATCTATGAAGCACAGTCTGTTCTGCTCCCCTCTAGGCTGTCGATGTTAAAATCAATACAGTGCTGGAAGCGGAGGGAGCCCAAAATCCCTGAGTCCTATCCAGAGTGGTCACAGCAGCAGAACAGCCTCTTGCAGACCTGTCTCTGCACAGCCAACGGATGGCTGAGCTGTAGGGCAGCCTTTCCTCAACCCCAAGAGGCTCACGAGCTCTGGACCGTCACTCGTTGACTGTAGAGGGGATAATTGTGAGCAGTTTTCCCCTCTGCTGCTCTCAGCAGACTGAAGGTCTGGCTGTGAACGTGCATTGCTGCTGCTGTGCTTCCCTGCACGCCTGACCTGGGTTTTTCTTTTCCTGAAGTTGTATGACCTGTCTAGATGTATTTGGTTAACTTAATTCCACCCCTTCGAGGCTATTCATTGAGCTATTTCAAATGGTTAGAATGAAAGCCTTGAGTCTGCATGTTTCTTGCAACTCAGTTAATAGCTATGGTTCAGACAAAGGCTAAAGCAAACCCACGAGCCTGCGCAGACCTTGGGGCTTTCTTGCTACCAGGAGAAAATGTTTTGATGCTGTAAAAAAACTTGAATTACAGCACTGTTTGTCTTTACTGGTCTCCATACATAG